TTGCCTGTCCCAATTAATAGAACTTGTTCTGACATTTGCGAGAACTTTTTCTCCAAAATAGGAGGAATGATCGGGAATGAAAGGTGTTATGATGGAGTTGACGTTGTTCATAGTGCAACTAGTATGAACATGCTAGCAGAATGCGAGGCAGTAGGTACATTGCTTTTTTCTAAAGCTCACAGGAAACAGGAAAATATTTGGGAAAAGATAGAGCATGATGGTAAGAGAGTAGTAGCGGACTTAGGGGATTACAATTTGGTGGAGATAGATGCTTTGATAGTTAATGAGCTGATTCAGGGTAAAGCCAAAGCACAAGAACTTCTTCATGGCTTTGGCATATCTGGAAGAGATTGGTGGGATAAACCTGAAGATTTTGAGGATTTTCACAAGGTTTCAGAAAATTCCGGAGAGCATGATATAGTCAATCAGTTTGAAGAGGAACATATAGTAGGAGAAGAAGCTACTGAAGTAGCAAGTGAACTGAGGCATACTTTTGATGCTGTTTTGGATCATATTGAAAATTATGAGTCATTAAAAATGGAAGCAATAGTTTTGGTTGACAAGAAGAAAATCTATAAATTGACCATTGTTTCTCAGCTAAATGAAAATCCATTTCTCTCCAAAGACCGGCTCACATGGGTGAGTTTGTTTGGTATGGTGGTCGAATTCTTTCCATGAGGAAAAAAGTGAACAATACTTGGACAGACACAAGGGAAGTGATTGAATTAGCCAATCTTCCAATTGATTCTGCTGATTTTCAAATGAACCTATGCTACTATAGGGAATGTGATGCTCCTGAAGCTAATGATGAAGGGAATTCATGGTATAGATACAACGTTCTTGATAATATGCTAGTGGAACTAACAAGCTTGATTGCTTTGGCATCATTATCATATCATCCAGAAGTCGAGAGATATTTGCTTCCACAACATGATAGGGAAGTTTTTGATAATTTCATCAAAGATAAAAGCAAGAATATCAATTGTCGTAGAAGGTGAAATAAATTTTTTTATTAATGGAAATATATATATGCTTTATGCAAAAATAACCAGAATATTCCACATATATATAAGAATTAAGGGTTTATTTAAGATTTGAAAAAATGGGTATGGGGCAAATTATGAACAACAAAAAAAGTATACTAGGCCCCCTAATTCTAAACTTCCAGAACTCAAATGATATATAATGCTTATAAAGAGTGACCACCCCGAAGTCAGTTGATAAATCAGCCAGCAATAAGAGCGTAAAGTGACAATTCCAGAGATTCCCTGGCCAAGTTCCTGATGTCCAGTGCCTGGATAGAGAAAATGAAGAGAAGAAGAACCAAAAAGGAAACTCCAGATAATGCTGCGAATGCAAAGGCTAGCCATGGCTGGACGGTTCTTGGATCCCGGTCAATCGATCGAGATGGTCGCGTCCTGGACGAGCAGCTGGTGCTGCCGCAAGATCCACAGCACGCTCAGCAGCAATCCCTCGCGCATACTGCAGCTCATGCTCAAGAACTCGGATTCACAGATGTGGAGCCCCACGGGGCCGCCGCCACGATCCATCGCCGGCAGTGAGGAGCTTGCGATCATCAAATTCCTTGATTTACAGCAGCGTCGATCCTCGAGCATGGATTTCCTGAGCGCCAGCTCCTGGATTTGGCGCTGCAGTGACTGGATCAGCGCCATTGCCTCGGCGATGACCTCGCATCGATCCATCTGCAAAGCAAAGAAGCAAAGCATTTAGCCCTTTGTTTGCTTGGCTGAGAATCCTAGCGATCGATCGAATGTGATGGATGGAGCGAGAGATTACTACCTTCCAAGATTGCGATTGGAGCGGTAGCAGCACGCGCAGTCGATCATACAGCTCCTGGACCTCCTTCTGCCGCTCGCGCTCCGACCAGATGTGATTGATCCACTGCATGTAACTCCGGCTCCGCCCTCCCTGCGCCGGGATTAGATGATCCATGGTCGCGATCCTCCTGCTCTCGCGCGAAATCTTCGAAATCTTTTGGAATAGTCAGATCCAAAGGAATTATAAATATTCCGAACTTCTTTCCAGGGAATCACACCGTACGCACGGTGTTTATGATCTGTATGGAAGCCCAGACTTGTGGTACGATGCTTGCAATGCCCGTGATCTGGGCGAAGTCCGTGGATCATGCCTTGGCTTCTACCTCATGAAGAACTGCCAGACGACGCAGCCAAGATCTCCATCCATCATAGGGCTTTGACCGTCTGATTGTAGCGATGCTGATGATCCAGCACTAGACTTCGCCGCTGGAGACGAGGCTGGTTCTTCTGCTGGATCGCTTTGGAGGAGGTGAGTATCGCGAAACTCTTCTCCTGCGGGGTCTGGAATCTCCGGCGTGGGAGGAGATGGAGGTGGGTCGCTTCTTTCATGATCTTGAGAAACGGGTGAGTGGGCTACAAGTGCCTTGTTCCTGATGCGCGAGTTCCACTGGTTCTTCACATCGTTGTCTGTTCGTCCGGGAAGCTGGGAAGCAATGTAAGCCCACCTGTGATTGATATCAGTGACGAGGATAAAAAAGTGATGGTGCCGGATCAAACACCTGTTTCCAACAAGCCCATGGAGCTCGATGAGCTTTTGATTCTCCTCGTCGCTGAATTTCCCACGTTTAAGGTCCGGCCTCAAGTAGTTCATCCACCTTAGTCTACAGCTCTTCCCACTTCTTTGGAGCCCTGCAAGAAAGCAGCGAAATCGGTCCTATAGAAAACTTCGTGAGTGAGATCGTCAATCAAACCCGCAAGCTTGGGAACAGTGGTCCATACGTTTCCACACCCGTGCTGCAGTATGAAATTTAGCAATAGCTCGTCCTCTTTGGGCGACCACAGTCCCTTCCTCACGATCGAGCTTGAGCTCGTCACGCCTCCCAATTCATGATCGTCGGGTTGTTCTCTTCTTGAGACCATGGATCGGTGAAGAACTTTGTGACAAGGATTTTTCAAAGAAGATGAATTCATTTCAAGCTTGCTCTTTTGGTCATGGATCAAACTCATGGAAGGACAATATCAGTTGACACACATTTCTCACATTCCAACCACCATACACAAAAACACGGTAATGTTTTCTTTTTTTTTCTTCTTTCTTCTTCTTTTTGTCTCAGCTTCATATTAAGAATCTGACAATAACTTTATTTTCTACTGTCCCAAGGTACAAAGCTTGAAAGTCCTTTCCGCAAGCTGGCCCTTTGACAGAGATTGCAAGATTGAGGCCAATGGTTTAGATCTATAGTTCTGAGTACAGTGTTTCACCTTTTTTGAGTCGTAATGACATTACTATATAAAAATAAATTCTAAAAATCCAGTTTCTAAAATCTTTTTTGTGACAGAGAAATGATAAAAGAAATGCGTTCTGTCAAGTAACATATTGGATTATAACTCATGCTTGAAAAAATTCACTTCAAAATATATACAATCTTAGGAGTATATGTCAAAACAATTAATATGCATCACAGAATGTTTTTCTTAGAAGAAAATCACTCAGCTTGAGATAATTTTAGTATTTTCTTTTGGAATTTTTTTAACCAAGAATAGCATCATTTCAGGAACGTTTAGGTTCAGGTTTAGTAATGGGGTTTTAGCGGTTAAATTAGTATAAGTATATTCTAGGCATAAAAAATCACCATTTTTTTATAAAAGGGAGAAGATGTGGAAGTGGTGGTCATAGCAGCAAAGTATTGATATAGTTTCCTCCAATTTTCATGCTTGAACTTCACACCCAACACCAGCCAGAAGTTGATAAGGTGATAGAATTTCCTCTCTCCAATCATTTTCCAAAACTAGAAGTGATAAATGGTCAAAGACTAAAAGAGAGAGTCCTAAAGAATGAGATTCATTCCCCACTAATGTGTCCATGCTTTCTCATAGAGGTGGTGACAATCCTATTAGATATGGACTAACTTTGGTTTACAGGATTTTGATACACTATGAAATTCTTTCATTTCTTTGCATCCCCCACATTAATATAATTAGTTTTAATTAATAATATTGTTTTTTTAATTGCAAACCGGCTGTGCAGCAATATAATTTTTCATTTTTATTGCCTTTAAATTTCAATTACCAGTTTTTTTTCTTCGCATTAGAGATTAGCTTTAAAAGTAAAGATAAAGCAATAAAAGATGGGTCTTATTAACTATTTCTGTACCTTCACTTAAAATGAACTTGATAATAGTATATATTTAATTCAGTTACTTTAAAAATTAATGTATTCAATGGATCTATATACATATATACATATACATATATACATACACATACACACACACACACACATATATACATATATATATATATATACATACATACATATATACATACATACATACATATATATATATACATATACATATATGTATATATATATATGTATATATATACATATACATATATGTATATGTATATGTATATATATATGACTGTAATTAGTTGGAGCACATTATTTATATGCACGTAGATCGAGAAGCTGTTTTCTCGCCGAGCATTTCTTCGTACGTCAGTTTGCCTCAAGATCAATCTTAAGGGACCAATCGATTGCAGGTTCCATCCACCATCCATGCTGCTCCCAGGACACCGTGCGATTTAACGATTCTGCTCAACGACACCTGGCACCAGTTGATTCAATGCCCAGCTCTGTCTTCCAAGCTGGCTGGCATTGCATGGCAGCAGCTTTCCCTGGAAAACAGTTGGATAGGACAATCTTTTTTCACAGGATCAAGCATTTAGCTGCTTGTCAATCACTTTAATTTACATCGATCTCTTTCGATTGTGTACACTTGATCAGCGTCGATTGTGCAAACACTTCAACATTTTGGCAGCCAGCTTCTTGTTTCGAAGACCGAGCTACAAAACTTTGAAAAGTATTAACACTCAAAGTAATTTATTTGAAATTCTCCTTTCTGGAAGGAGAGTTTTATGCGTTCAAGCTGTTTTTCCTCTTTTGACACCAAGCTCTTTTTCTTTTTCTTCTATGGGTTCATCTTTGGAACTTTGTGATTTCTGCAAGTTCTCTCAATTCCAAAAAGAAAACCAACCGCAATACAAATTCAATGAACTTGCTTGCCCCAGAAATACAAACACAGATATTTCAAACTGATAACTGCAAACTTGGAGGAGTTGAGAACACTCTCGTGGACTACAACATCCAAAAGAAAAGGAGTTTATGCTCCAGCTGGTTCTGCGTCTCCATGGTGGCATGCAAATCATCGTCTCATGTTTTGGATATTTAAAACTTGTTCACAAAACTTTTTAGCGATGACTCCAAAGACTCCTTGGCGAAGTGATCGATGTCCAAGGCCTGCAAATCCACAGACAAAATCCTAAGAAAATCAATGGAGAGATGGAGAAACCTTGGCACGGATGCAGATGCATGCGACGCGCGAAGCATCATCGACGGAGACGGACGCGTCCTGAACAATCAGCTGGTGTTGGCGCAGAATCCACAGCACACTCAGCAAGAGCCTGGCCTGCATCCTGCAGCTCATGTTGACGAACACATCCGACTTGCATATGTGCAGCCCCACGCTAGCACTCGATCTCGCTGCTGCCGCCATCGCCATCGCATTCCACTTGGGCTTGGAAGGATCCATGGCGGCGCTCTTGCGGTGCTCGAGCAGCATGGATCTCGTCGCCGACAGCTCCTGGACTTGATTCTTGAGCGATTGGATGAGCTCCATCGTCTCCTGCACCACTCCGCATCGATCCATCTTTCGTGCAGCGCAAACAATCTTTGAGTGATCAAGCAAAGTAACAAGTGTGGATTGATCAGGATACCTTTGAGGCTTCCGTTGTTGGTAGCAGCGACCTCAGCCGATCATACAGCCCTTGCAGCTCTTTCCTTCGCTCCCTCTCCGACCATATGTGATTGATCCGCTGCGCGTACGTCCGGGTCTTTCCTTGCGCAAGCATCGCCGGGCCCAACCCAATGCGCGGATTGATGCTAGCAGCATTCAAGGGGCAAACTCCATGATCCAGAAACACGGGAAGAAACTGACTCAAGCTTGAGCCCTCGCGCTTGACAGGCTTCACCATTGATCGTAAACTTACACTCGAATGTGGTCGTCTAGAAGAGAAACTCTCGCCCTCGAGAACTTACACTTGCTCTTACAATCAAAAGGACTTTCTCCCCTCCACCAATCTTCTCGAGCGCTCCCCCACCACCTTTCGGTGGTGTAGTTATGAAACGATCGGCGTGGATGTTGGATACTACGCAACATCTACGCCGAGCATACATTTGCTTTTGCCAGCCAGCACAAGACACGGTTATGATTTTAACGATACACAGATAATCTCTTTAATGCCAAACAATAATCGAACCACTTTATTTTGATGAAATAGATTGGCAAGAAAGAGACGCTCTTTAATATCTCCTCTCTCTCTCTCTCTCTCGTATAGATGCCACTCTCTCTCCTCTCTCTCTCTCTCTCTCTCTCTCTCTCTCTCTCTCTCTCTCTCTCTCTCCCTTAGATGCTACTGCTGCTACCGCTGACACTGTGGCAGAAGCTCAAATCCAGGCACTCGTCTTGCAGCTGGAGCTCAACCAGCGCTCGCAGAGGACATGCCTCGCCGCAGAGCAAGCAGTCGCCGCTAGAAGTGGTGCTTGCCACCGCCAGGTGATGATGATCCAAAAGTTGGACACCAGTGCTGCTGATGCTACTGCCATTGCTGCTGATGCTGCTGCTGCTGCTCTCGTATGCCATACCGCTGCAGGAGCTTTGCCAGACAATGCAACCCAGATCGCCATCCATCATCAATCGCTGTGCTTCCTCACCTCCCTCTAAACTCTTCTCACTGTCTTGGCGAGGGAGTGCTGTTTCACTTGTGATCGAAGAACTTCTTCCACAGCTGCTAGAGCTCCTCCCCTTGGCCTTGAATCTGACGCGGGAGTTCCAATGGTTCTTGACATCGTTATCCGTTCTCCCAGGAAGTTGAGTAGCAATGTAAGCCCATCTACACAGCGAAGGGAGAGATGTCGATCCGAAGCCAAACACTCGAGCAAAAGTAAAGTACCTGTTTCCAACCAATTCATGCAGTCGACAGAGAGTTTCCTCCTCCTGCTCGCTGAATTTTCCGTGCTTCAACTCCGGTCTCAAGTAGTTCATCCATCTCAGCCTGCAACTCTTGCCAGTTCTTTGCAGGCCTGGAACTCGAAAAGCCACACAACAACAGTCGATCATCAGAAACTTGCAAATTCCAACTCCGGAAAGCTTACCTGCAAGCTTGGGCACGGAGCTCCAGACTTGATATCCATACTGCAGGATGTGCTTCCTCAAAAGCTCGTCCTCTTCAGGAGACCAGAGTCCCCGCCGCAGTTTGCTGGACACTACAGCATCGTCTCCCTCGTACTCTTGTTTCGAGGCTGTCTCAACTGAACTCATCCTCCCAACTTCCAGGAAATCGGAAGCAAACACCCCGACTTCCAATCCAAGCTCTCTACGAAGGAATTGTTTCCCCTTCTGCTGTTTCTTTGTCCTTTTCCAACTTGAAAACGATCCAAGTCATGACAAGAGATCGGGTGACACACATTTCTCAGGAATTTAGTAACACGCTTCATGCAAGGCATCTTTCTCTGTGCCCCACACGGTGCCTTTTCTCTTAGCTTGTGTCTGGATGAGGCTCTGCAAAGCTGGAAAGTTCTCACCAGAAAAAAGAGTGAGAGATCAGAAATGCGCGAGAACAACAGAACAACTTACGCTTCCGATGGTTCCTGCGTCGGCAGTCAGGAGCCGGACAGCTTGGAGCAGTGGCGGTCGTTTCCCAGCTTCCTGCAGTTGAAGTAACCACACCGGTTGAGCAGCTCCAAGGTTTGGGTGCTGCTAGAATTGCTCGCAGCCAGCAACTTATCGTCTTCCTCGTAGACAACGTAGGGAGCTTGCTCATTCGGCCTGGAAAGCAACCGCTCCGCTCCTTTCAGCACATGATACTCCCAGCCCTGGACGTCGACTTTCAGCAGCGAGACACGCATTTCGTCTGGGATCACGGAGTCCAGGGTCAGTGTTGCAACCGTAAACGGAACCACGTGATTGCTTTTGAAAGCAAGCTTTGCTCCTGATAGCGAAACGGCGGAGTTGTCAAGCCTCCCAATCACCTATGAGAACAACAAGGTATGTAAAGAGCTAAAAACAAAGAGTACTATGTAGATAAAGCAGCCGAAATAAGTTTAGCAATGCAGGAAGAGGAGGTGTTCTTCTCATCTAGAAATACCATTATCACGCAATGCAGTAGTTTAGTAGTATGTTCTATCATGCAAGACAACGCAAAGAGATCGTGATCTAAGACAGTAGCACGCACTGCAAGAGCTTTGCCAAGAGAACAATCTTTCCAAGTACCTTGTGGAGCGTAATGCTTCCCGGAGTATCAGACACGGCCGCGTGAAAGAGCTTGACGAGGCTTCCAGCTCTGTTCAAGTAGACACCATCGCAGAGCTTGTTTAAGTTGTCCACCACTGGCTCAAACGCAAGAACCCTAAACCCCATCGCCGCGGCAGCGAATGCAGCCATTCCAACGTTCGCTCCCACATCCACCACGACTCCCTCGCCCGGATTCCTGCCCTCCAGAATTTTCTGCACCGTCTCGGAGATCTCCGGCTTCTGGAACAGCTTCCCCTTGATCACGCGAAGGAAATTGCGATTCGGCCTCTCCGCGCTGCCTAAATCCGCGATCGAGATGAAGAAGGGATACCTCACGCCTTCGATCTTGTTCGCGAACACCGGCCATCCCTGCTCCGATCTCTCGCAGGAGTACTCCGGGAATGCGCCGCCGATCCTAGGCGCCGATCGCTCCCTACCGCCCTCTAGAACCCTAAAGAAGAGATAGATCAATGCAGCGCAGGCGGCACACCAGAACACCAGAGCCTTGTGTTCTCGCCGGGCTCGCATGGTATACTCTGCAAATTTAGGGCCTGTCCGGAGGATCGAACCCTCAACCAACATGATCCAACGGCTGGTAGTTAAAAGCCGTTGGATTGACATAAGCCCTTAAAGCCCTGCGCGAAGAGATTGTAGAGTATCGAGAGATTGACGCAATGCCGCCGGGTAGCGATCGCAGCGATCGGAGCCATCGCGCAGCGGATGAAGCAGTGGGAGAACAGAATTCCAATCCCTGGGGAGCGCTTGTGGCAGTGTCGGAGAGCGCCAAGCAGCGCGATCGGGTAAGATTTCTCTTGTTCTCTCGAAATATTTCGATCGGCGCTCACGGCGCGCGGGGCTTGTTAGGCGGATATGATGCTATGGCGCCCGGAGCATATGCTGGGACGCACTGTCCGCGAGAAAGAGTTCCTCTTCTCCGAGCCAGGGATCAGCGGTCTACATTGCACGATTTCCAGGAGGAAAGCCGATGGGGAGGAAGGGTTTGTGACCTACATCAAAGATTCGAGGTAAATAGAGCGCTCTTGAGCATCGCTTGATATGGAGTGTGTGAGTTCCAGCTTGAATGGAACCAATGTCAATGGCCGGAAGCTCACGAAGAACGTGGAAGCAGTGCTCAAAGACGGGGACTTGGTGTCTCTGTTGTACGTGTCCAACCTTTACTCGTATCTCTATCGGGATCTCGCCTCGGCAAAGCGAAAGGCCGTTTCTGGGGAGAATGACGAGAACAAAAGGCCAAAGAAGGACAAAGGCATACAAATATGTGAACCTTTGGCGGCGCATGGTGGCACTCAGGTTGGTTGGCGATTGTTTTGCTGCTTGCTGAACTAGCGACTTTCTCAGGATGCGGGACTGGAGCTACGAACAGCGGAAGAGTACAAGATGAAGCTGGAAGAAGCCTTGCGAGAGTAAGACGAAATGCAAAAGTGTCGAGCTCCATCTGAGCGCTTAACTTGTTTTGCTGTGCAGAAATGCGGCGCTAACAGAAACGCTGGAGAAGAAACTCCAAGAGGAAAAAGAGAAATGGGAAGATGAGAAGCGCAGAGAGGCGGAGGCTCTGGAACAAAAAACTGCAGATCTTACGAAGGCAATTAACAAGGAAAAAGGCCTTTCCGATTACCTCAAAGAGGTCTGCAGGAACGATCCAAAAAGTTTGTTAACTTTGCAAATTTTTACAGGAGCTGAGAAAGATCCGTCAGCGCATCGACGAGATCCTGGAATACGCTGTAAGACTATTTCTCAAGGCTCTTGTGCTTCTAACTTTACAATGGTGTTTCTTTAGAGGAAGACGAACAATTCAAGCGATGGCGCTGAAAATGCTGCTTCTGTTGAGGGCCAGCTGAACGAACGCGACGCTTTAAGGTTCGATTGCTTCTTTCTTCCATACTGTTTTCTAATCTACACCGTCACCGTCACGACCAGGGAGATTCGAGTGAACGCGCGAGGATTGGATCCCGGGATGATGGAGGCCGTCGCAGGGCCCAGCAGATACAGGGGAGAAGATTCTTCTGGTCTACCGGGAGCCGGAGCTGCTCACGGTGATGCTGCTTTGGACGTGCGTTACAAAGAAGTCAAGCTCACGACGAGCGAGAGCATGCCGTACGTGCCTGAGGACTCGGACGAGGTGAGAAACAAGCTCCGGCGCGCCGCAGCACCACTCACGTCGGCCGACCTCCGAGCCAACGAGAGCTTGCCGGAGACGTCCAACGACGAAGAAGCGAATGTAGGAGGCCGGGGTGGCGAGAACCTGGCTTCAGTGGCTCCAGCGGCGGCACAGGCTACGAGAAGAGGTCGTCGTCACTCGTCCGACGTGAGATCCGACGCGAGATCACCGGTGCCGGGCGACGAGGTAGTTGGCCCGATGCCAGCCGAACAGGGACAGGGAGAAGATGTCGCTCTGGTGGAAGGCCCTCGTGTTCTCCAGGCAGGAGCTGGAGTTTTAGCGGCGGCGGCAGCACAGGCCGGGCACGGTGGCAGCCAAGTCGGGAACTCGGACACACAGCCAGGGGGTGCGCATCCCGTGGAAGAGCTGCTTGGATACAGCCAGACGCAGCAGCTCGAGGAATTCACGCAGTTTGGCCCAGCTCTCCCACAGCGTCCTCCTCGTCCACGCATGATTCAGGTACTCACGGAGGAAGCGCGAACTCTGCACAGGATCATCTTCCATGGACAAGAGATGCTGTAAGTACGATGCTCTAGGCGGCGGGATTTTGATCTGGTACCTCGTTTTGCTTTCGGTTGTTTCTTCCCTTCTTTTAGCAGACTGATCGGTGTGGTACATACTTCTTTATAACTTCTTTCAGCGAGATCGAAAAACGAACTTTACACAGCGGGATAGGACTGATGGGCTAAATGCCTTGATAATGAAAACGGTTTTGTAACTAATTAGTAGACGGTTTTCCGATTCATGGATATAGTTTTATTCGTAAATCTCGATGTAGTGCATTCGGTTATACTTTGTGCTCAAAACTATATTGTGGTGAGATTGGTATCCAGACCGTAATCAACCTCGGGTTGCTCAGCCACAGCATCCTTGATCACTTGGCTTGATAATAGGGGGTATTGATTTATTAATATTTATAAATTTTGGTTACTATTTGGTCTACAATATAATGATAATGACAAATTGTGACCCACCTATGGTTTAAAAATCTTAATCACCATACAATACCGGTGATTTTATGCGACTAACGGTTGCCGTCTTTACAAGTACGAGTCTGCCCCACCAGTTTACAAATATTCTTGCAAATCCGACTGCAAAGAAGCTGATATTCAAGGGTCATGTATCCAACCGCATCATCGGCCCCTCTTTCTTGGACATTTCCGAGTGAGAAAGATTCAATTCTTCTTCTCCAGTCCGAGGTAGATAGATCGAAGATGATCGCCTCCTCTGTGGGACCTCCGTGAGCATGCTATGATGCACAAAGGCTCGTTTTTTGGGTCTCATCAGGATAGCGCCATTGTGCCCAGTTTTGATAAGCTTGGCTGGTAGTTGCCTTGTCTATAATTTGGCTTTTTTGTATTCGCATAGGATTTTAAGATGAACGGATTTCTCAAACTTCCCATTCTGTGTTGCCTACTATTATTCACAACTGTTCTTATTCTTTTGCTCTTTTGCAGCCTTGGTTTTGACGGTGACAAATTGGCTTTTGTTCTGGTAACAGGCAAAACTACAAGTTTTCAGCATTTGCTTTAAAAATGCTTTCTTACTGAGCTAGTTTAATTATTGAGTTTTTAAAGCTAGATTTACTGATATTTGTTAGCTAACCAGAAATGCAAAAAAATATTAAAATGAAAACCACAGCAATCAAGCTGTGCTAAATGCGAAGCTCAATAATTTTGATATTTTATATCATTATGGAGTATACAATTCTTCTATTGTAAAACTATTTTATGTAAAGCTGTAAGAATAACGTCCATCATCAATCAAAATCAAGAAAAATATATATTTATCTTTAATATTTTTATCACAATATGCTTCTACTGTAAATTTTGACTTCAGAGAAAATATACCTATCTGATTAAGCTAACAACAAG